CTTGGCACACCATATTTCAAAATGTGCCATTTTTTTTGCAGTTCTGATACCTATGTGATCAATTCTGAGTGAATGCGGTCTTATCTTATTGACAATTATAACAGTATTATGACAATAACAGTATTATGATGGATAAGAATGGTCGAATAATTCCGATGGAGATATACACACAAGCACGTTGAAAGTCGCAGAAATTGCAACGATATTTCGCACGGATAGATATCCAGGTAGATTCTTATGATTATCATAACGCCGAACGATCGATGATGTATAGATAATTTTTAAAATTTCATTTATTTGTTGGAGATGGAGTATTAAAGAATTAACTCGTTATTAAAAATGATTTAGGGTAAAGAGTCAGTCTGATGTGGAAGATTGATTCACCGCATACGTTGCAAGTCCAAAATATATTCGACGCGTTCATCAACACTCTGTCAGACATTATTATCCTCCCTAAAAGTTTGAGTATTTGCATGAACAACCGCGTCTTATTTGCCGTCTTCTCTCGCTTGGATTTAAGTTTTATTTATGAAACAAATATAGTATATTAAGAATTAATCATTAAATAGACATCATATAATGATATAAAGTTCTTTGTTACGTTAATGTGCAAAAACAAATTTATTAAATGTATATTTACTAAATACAAATTTATCATATACTCTTCGATTTTACATTTCACATAAGACACACTGAGTAAATTTTGATAATTTTTTAAATATATTTCTCCCTCGTCATACTTTCTATGTGATGAATTTAAATGTCATGTGAAGCACACATAACAATCTTTACATATCGCGTAAGAAGTAGAGTCGTACGAACACTTGTCCATCTGGATCTACAAGATAGCTATATCGCACGTTTTATCATCCGGGCCCTCATCGCGCTCCGCGAATGCGTGGATTTTCCAATAAACAGGTACACACGACTGTTCTGTCACGGCTGAAGCTTCGTCAATACTCGTTATGCGTACGCGCAACATTTTCATCTGAAAATGACATCAAGCGGATACTACTTCGTCGCGGAAATACAGCGCTACACTATCGTCCCACTCGCATTTTAAATGTTCCGGACGCGATGCAACTGTATTATTCAAGTGGCCGTTTATTGAAATAACGTTACCGCGTCGCGTTGGGTTGGAATACGTTGCCTTCTTACCGCGTGGTTCGCTTGACATCATCATTTTGTCGAGTATAATGTCCATCGCTTGTCATCGATGTACATGCAAATTACATGAAAATTTCAAAGAGCATAATGTGGGAGCGCCGCAGTTGTTTTCGCCGTTAATTCAATCGCGATGTCGGGGTCCTTTTTCATCCTCTCTTTCTTTCTCTCTCTCTTCGAAAATGATTAACTCTCCGGGAAGAAAAGCAACATCGCTTCCTGCGCGGACAAAACAGGTCGCGTTCTCTTGAATTTTCGACACCGCAAGTTCTCAGCAGACACGCGATATCCGCATGCTCGAAAGAGCTCCGCCGTGCTGATGCGCTTTCATTACGACGATACTCGAAGAACGGAATGAAATCGAAGAAGAAGCGTAGGAAGAAGCGGATGTGAAGAAGGAATGAGAAGAAGACGATGATGAGAAAGAAGAGAAGGGAAGAAGGTCGGTGCTCTTTCGCGCACGGTTGGATGGTCCCCACGGTGGTCGAAGGGTAATGCCTCCGTTCCTCGCGAATCCACCGTGTGGATATCGCTCGACCTTTGAAGCGCCACTGACGAGGACGACCTACTTCCTGGATCCGCGGAGTCGTCTCGGGCTTGAAGAGAAGAAGAGGGAAGAGCGGCTTCCCTTCCGGCTGGCGGAAAAGGCGAGCGTGAAATTGGTCGGATGAGCGCGCGCCGACGTCGCCACCTCCGCCACCGAGTGAATGGCCTAACGAGCAAATATAAATTAGATCGAGGAGTCGACTATGAAAAATGTCCCTTTCGACTCGGGACGAAAAGGTAAAGGAGGACGTCGACGATGGTAATGGGCGGCGCGCGCGTTACCACTCACACACGTCGAACATGGAAAAGGTTTAAATCAACGTCACCTGGCTCCTCGCCTCGTATATCGCTGTCGTTGATCCCGCGATAGGTTCCGCGTCAAAAAGATATTCCGCTGGAAAACACTCGAGCGACGTTTTTAATCGATCTGCAGCAATGGCGGGGAAGAAATGTAATCGTTTTCTCCTTCTTTCTCCGTCGTCGGACTCTCGTTCCTCCTGAATTCGTGTCCGAAATAAAACAGCGTGGCCTCGTTTATTCTGCAAAAAATTCTCGTCTTTTTTATTTGTTCATGACGATCTGCCTTCTGTACCTGCGAGTTTCTCGACCGTGTCGAAATTAATGAACGGTAGCGTGTGTAGCGTCGATATTCTCGGATTACCGGACACATCGCTGAACTACCGAAGATTTTAATTAAGGTATCGACGTTGTACGACGGTGATTACCGATGAAGTGCGAAAGAACTCTCGGCAAGGAAAACAGGGAATTCGATCGTCGCGTGCTCAGAGAGAGAGAGAGAGAGAGACGATCTCGTAAGAAGACGCCACTGCATGTTGAGAAAACGATAACGGCGCTCGGGCGGTATCCGGATGCACACCAGAAACCGAATGTAAACGGCTGCCGTGTAACTTAATTAATTAAGTTGCTGCTCTTTACGTTATCGCGGCGCCGCCGATACATTATCTTAACGTTCGGAGAATGCCGCATCGTCGAGAATCTCGTGGAACGCCCGCCGTGAGTACCGTCGTTGTCTTGAGTGAAATTTTTGCCGATGAGAGCAGAGAGAGAATGAGGGAGAGAAAAAGAGAGAGAGTTTTCAAACTCATCCGGGAACATCGCGATTATCGATTTTATACGCGTTTTACGATATACGCTCTCTGCACACGCACTCGAGGCGACGTAATTAACGGGGCCGCGGAAGGTGCACAGTCAACACGTTAAAATTTCGCGGTCGTCCATTTCTCGTCCGGAAAGTTTCGGCGAAGCCCTCCAGGAAGCTCGATGAAGTGCTTTCGAGGCTCGGTACAATCACTCGCGCGCCACATCCTCTCGCGAGCGGTAATGCGGATACTTTGATTATCGCCGCGGTAAGAGACAGTGGCCACGTTGCATATTGCATTACGTGCCATTCCACACACAGAAGCCTCTCCCTTTTCCGTCCTCTTTGTCTCTCATACACTCATTCACTCACTCACTCGCTCACTCACTCTCTCCCTCTCGGGGGAATTTCGCGGCGCGCAATTTTGAAACTTTAGCTATTACACTTTCTGTTTTTTATTCGCGATGGTCACGACGTCGTAAACATTATTTGGTCGCGCACGGTATTCATTAGGACGACCGCTTAATCTACGTTACCCGAGTAATGGTGAAATTGTCGTCCTCTCTTCCTGTCAACGGCGCGATCGCACGACTAGCGCTGTGTTTACACGCCGCGTGTTTTTTAATCGAGAGCAACAGCTGCCAGAACGGATCTGTGCGTTTTTAGCATTATTCCACGCGTCCTTGGGCAGATATTTTCGGACGTCCGGAGCGCGGCCGCGTGTCGCGGTTCGAACACGTCGACGTCGATCACCGGCCTGCGAGGCCGGAATCAAATTTTTTACTTATTCGAGTGCAAAGTGATGGAGTATCGTTAACTGTCGATATTTGCCCAAGATATTGTGGTGTTTCTATTTATCTTGACCGGCGTGATAAATGCAACGCCGCTCCTTTTCTTCAATATAACGGAAATTTTGCGAAGCTCCAACTTTCTTCACGGCGAGGCGAGACGAGGCGAATACAGCCAATAAAGATATTTTCATCTTGTAAGTGAAAAGTCAGACACCAACTACGAGAATTTCTGTTCCAACGGTTCGACATCCCGAAGCTACTTTGGTCGCGCACAAATAGTGATAAAAAGAACGCACTTATTTGTTTTCTCTCCTTTTCTCTTTCATTCCCTTTCTTCACTCTAATTCGCTACATCGGTATCGCTAATACCGTACAATCGCGACGCTTTTCACTTCGCGTCCCCGAAGGCGCAGCGCCCACGAACTTTTTAACGCCCCATCTTCTGGTATATGTTTTTTATACAATACACACGCGCGATATACATACACGGATATCGGCGAGGGTGGCCCCACGGTCGGCGGATCATAGCGTATCGTGATTCGCTCGGAAAACTGACATCGATCAATCATATCGCAGACGAGTGTCGGTTTCACGAAACCTCCCCTGACGTTCGTCACGTTTTATTACAATGCTTTTACACGCTCGAATGTGCAGCGCGCGGGTACGGGGCATTTTCCGAAAAAAAAGAAAGGGAGAAAGAGAGAGGACTCATCCGCGCCTGCAAATCACGCTCCGCGGCGAATAATGAATTTTTTTCGGAGCAACGCGAGCTCGTACTCTCTGCTCTGGCAAAAAATAGCGTAACACACGCGACATCTCCCTTAAAAGCCCGGCTGGATATGTACGCTCGAAGGAGATCACGATTTTTTCCACAGCTGCTCTTGGAAATTCCCATCGTATATCGTATCTCGTCGCTGTAATAGCCGATCCGAACCTACCCACGAATTAGCGTATCTCACGCCACGAATTAGTCGTGAGAACTGTCTCTCGGTGTGTACCGATGCACTCGGCTACACCGACGATCCTCTCGAAGTAGACTCGGCACGACTCGTGTAACATCGCGCACTGCATGATGCGACGACTTTAACGAGGATAGAACCGTTACCGCGACAATAAAGGTGCGTCGCAAATAAAGTCTCGCGGTTAGAATTTTACGGTTATACATCCCGTATTTATGATCCGCCGGCCGGGAGATATAGTTCATAAAAGCCATACAGTCGCGTCTTAAGGGGATGCCGTACTTAAAAAACTTTGCCGGCGAAATACCGACATTCTTCTGCAAAGCTTGCATCTCATGCTGGCTGCACAGAATTATAAATTCTTTTACACAGTGAAAGTACGAGCACAAATGAATTAGAATATTGTCTAATATGTGACGGAAACGACAAAAATATACATATGCTGTGCGATGCTCCAATTCATTCTGCCGAAAGTAAGTGTCGCGCGTTGTGTCGTGAGGAGGTATCGTCGAATAAACGCCCAAAATGAGTATGTCGGGCAACGAGCAGTCGAGCGTTCTGAAAAGAGTGTTGCCCGTTCGTGCTATTAATGACAGTTGGAAACGCGAGCCGCAATCGTTATCGAATTATTATTTAAACGTGATTTATTTCGATCCCTAAGGCGAGTTTTGATTACATTCCCACGAGTTTAGATCGATATAAATGTCACCATCGTATTCAGCGATCCAAAAACGTAGATCTACATGTATAATTTACACTTTTTAGACCAAAATCAGCCAATTATATCCATTGCACTTCGAATTTTACTAAATTTTACCGAATGACTCGGAACAGATCGACGGCTGCACGTCTCGCTCACAAAGAAGAGTCGTCGTGTCTCTCTTTTCGCGATTCGATCGCTTCCATCGCGTTGAAGGGTGTATGTCGCTCTTCCTCGCTCGTCGTCTCTTGCTCACCGGCGCGGTACAAGCTCAATTAAGGCGAATTCATGAAAAAGAAAATGGGAATACGGAAGAGAAAGGAAGGGAAAAATTCGTCCGCGCGCGGCTCACGAGATACCGCGAGCGCGATCGCGGAAACTAGTTTCGCAAGCAGCCGGGCTTTATCGAGAAGTAATATAAACTTTATATCCCCTTTCACGAGCGGAGAGAACTCGTAAGACAAATATATGTCGAGATCGTCGTTTCCGGTTCGTGCAACGGCTTACGACGCCGGTGCTCCGCAGGGCTACAATGTAAACATATATCGGCCGGGCTCGTGTACAGATATGAACTTATATGCGCGGCGCTCATTCGGCCGTCCGCGCGCGTTACGGGCTCGCCGAGTTTTCGGATCCTGCCGTAATAAAGGTCGGCCGTCGTAAAAGAATTGCGTTAAACTTAACGCTCGGTCGTTAGGAAACGTCCTGATAAAATAAAATCTTAATCCCGCGCCGTCCACGGCGAGGAGATTTAGGGTCTCTCTTCTCTGCACCCTCTCGCCCTGCTGTAGCGTCCTTCCCGCTGTCGTTTTGGACGGAGAAGGGCTCGTCCGTCTCCTCGAGATCAGCCTTAACGGTTTACTGGACCGACTATTAAGCGTATCTGGCACGCTTAATCCTTTCAGACCCAAATTTTTATTTGTCCGCGGGAGACCTTCGTGCCTTTATAGCCGGAGGGACGAGCCGAACGGTGTTACGCGCGTTGCAATACTCTCCCTTCTGCGAAAGATCCTTTCCTTAGGACTGTAACGAGTGAGAATCTTGGGGCGTTCTCAGCGGGTTTGAATTGCTTGCCGAAGGCAAGCAGCAACCTCGCTCTTCCACCTCAGATTGTATTAAGGTTCATCTACAATGGGATTGGTAATAAGATCAACTACAGTCGATTATTACAAGAATAATCGATTGTAGTTGGTCAATTTGCTTACTGCTTACATCTTACTGCCTACTGCCAATCCTATGACCCTTAAAGGACCGTCTATAATACGTGAAGTAAGCTTAATGTAAGTAGAGTAAAAGTAAGAAATTATTTATTTTGTTTACACGCCTGCTTACATTTTAACTTTCCTGTATCGGAAATATTTCTATAACTGAAGTACTTGCGGTAATAAAGAAGTTGGAATATAGGCGTAAATAAAATAAATTATTTTTATTTCTTACTCTTACTTGTTACACCAAGCTTATATATTGCGGACCAAGCTTACGACTTCATGGAGAATCGCGCTTAATCGCTCCATCAACGACTCGGACAAGTCCGCCGCTCCAATAAACGGCGAGCTTGCTCGAAATAGTCACCGCGTTCACCTCCTCCTCGGCGTGCTCGCTCGAGACGGTCCGAGCCACCCTTCGACTTAGAAGGAGGTGTATAGCACACACAATGCCCGTCGTACTCGAGTTCACTGACACGTAACGCTTTTTCGTGTGCATCCCTTTTCAGCAAGAACGGATACGTGTGCATCATGTTCCACAGGCGGGACAAGCACGTAATAGAGATGCAACTTTCGGAATGGGGCCAGCAGCCTGACGATATATGCAACTCGAGCACGTTCAACTCGCACTCGATGCCGTACACGACGTTCATCAGTAAGTAAATTTTCATCTCCTAATCGAATTACGTATTGTCGCGCGCGATATCACGTCGTGACGCGGCGCGGTAACTAATTGCGCTTTAATGCACGGTGTCAACTTTCGCCGCGTGGCGGTAGCGTAATATACGCAAATTTGATTACGTTCAGCAGCGCCCGGTTGACAGATCGTGTTATATGTTTGTTACTGCAGTTTCGATTAATGCAATTAAACGGCCGTGCGCGGTTAATGCGTCCGGCGTTTTTGCTTTGTCGGTATTACAGTCCGTAATTAATCGGACAAATTAATTCGCCCATATGCGAGTAGCGGGACGGCACGCGAACAAACTCGCGGTTTCTTTCGCACATCAAAGGCCGGCCGTATTGCATCGGACCGAGCGAGTTAGCCGAGTTTGCCACTCGATTAGCGTTCGCGGCCTCTTCGTGCGGCCAATCGTCGTCTCCGACGTCGTGCCGATCGACTCGACGCATAGACTAGCTATTGTTAACTCTCTTCTGCTCAAATTAATTTCGCATATTTAACAATTTATGTAAATGTGTGTTGCTTTGCTTACTCCAATTTATACCAATCTTACTCCTCGTATTGTAGACGAGCTTAACAGGTACGATGCCTTTTTAGTCAAGCTATAGGTACAGTGGGATCCAATGGACCTTAATAAATTTTTGTCATTTTTAACATGATAATAAAAGGTAGAAAGAAAAACGTTTTATAGTTCGAAAATAATACTTTACGAATATTATATTACAACTAGACATATATAATAACAGTCTCAGTTTTTCAGTAATCTAAAAGAACACGTTAATTGATTATAAAATGAATACAATGTGGACAGTGTTGAAAGAAAATACACTGAAAAATAAATAATCGGTAAAAGAAAAAAAATTATGCTTTAATCTAAGTCCACAAATTATAGATTATATAAAAAATATAAACAAATATTGTTAAATTAAATACAATATTAAAATCTTAGATTTTATTAAAATCTTAGATTTTTAGATACAATCGTTACAGATAGTGCTTGCACATTTGGTGCATACTGTTCATTGCATCTAACATATACTTCTTTGGACTTCATATCTTTACTTCTAGGACATGTATTACATCTTACTCTGGATGGCAAAATAACTTTAGATCTTTCAGTTTCTTCAATTTTTTAAATAGATGAAATTATTAAACGCAATGGCTTATGAATATATTGAGTTGTAAGGTGTCTCTTAAGTTCAGGTTCTACTAACTGAAAGGCAAGAGCTTTTACTTTTTTGCGTGAAGAATGAGTCATATTGAGCTGAAGATTAAGACAATTATTTTCATAAAAGTAACGTTAACAGTACAATAGGGTCACTGTGACCCCAGACGAAAAACAAATGCATAAAATTCATAGTTACTTACAAATAACTCGATGATTTTCTTTTCTTCTGTCACACTGAAAACTGTTACTCGAAAGGTACTGAAGATATTAGCACCATATAGTGGATAGTTTAGGAATTATCACAAAAATAAAATTAGTTGGGGTCCCTGAGACCCCATTGTACCTGTTACGGGTTAAATGGCCATTTACAATATGTGAAGTAAGCTTAACGGAGTAAGTTCCGGCATAAAAGAATTGAAATATAGACATAAGCGAAAGAAATGATTTTTATTTTCTACTCACGCCAAGATTACTCCGCATATTGTGGACTAGCCTTAACACGAGTACGCGAATATTCCGACGACGTGCGAGATTCCCCTACGATTCGACGGCGGATGCATTTACCGCGCGGTGTAACGCGATCGTGAAATAGTACGGTCGTTTTTTCTCTTCGCGGCGGTGAGCGGACGAGAGATTAAGTGGATTGGAAGCTGGAAATTCGGCCGCGCCGGTCGCGGCCGGAAACCGGAATCAGAAACGAACGGTTCGCCCGAAGGTGATTTCCGGGCTCGCGTCGGCATCTCGGCGCTCCGCAACTGCCAATTCGACTCCGATGGACCCCTCCGTTTTTCTTCCGATTCATTGGCCGCGTCCCCTGGTTTGTCTCGATCTTATCGAGTTACTCTGACAGGAGATATAAGCGAATGGAGAGATCCGCGCGCAAAACGAGCCAACGAGTCGATAATCTCGACGACACGAACCTTTCGTCGTTATTTTAAAGCGCTGGGAACGTCGTGCTCTCCGTTGATATCTGAAAGATTAAGGATACATTAGACATTCGGAACATTGGAATTCAAGTTATGTCACGCAGATAGTGGCAGCTACGATATCACATGTCGTTTAATGCAGCTAACGTTTGAAGATTCATCGACGTGTTTACCATCCCGGTGGTTTTTTGGATGATTTTTATGGTCTTTAAAGTAGAACTTTCTCACATATATCAAAAAAATAGACTAGTAAAAAATATATGACACCCTCGCCGCGCCACTATAATAACATTCCGAATCAGATCACAATTATTTCTTCAAACTAATTTTTTTTTCTTATTTAATCATACAAAAATTTCTTTCTTGTATTAAGAGTCATTAAAGAACATAATTTTATTTATTTTTGACAAAATGATGCAAAATATACGTCTGATAGTAAAATAAAGAACGCTCGTGTTGATTCAGTCACCAAGTCGTCAGATAAGTACATTAATAGTAAAACATTAAAAATTTATGTGACATAGATATATTTGCGTATATTTTTTTTTATTTTCTATTTAAAAAATTCTTTGAAAGTTTTTATATTTTTTAAATTCTTTTTTACTAATTTAAATAATAATAATAAGAATAATTGCAGTTGTACTTCACATAATTGCTACCGCGTTATTATAGTAGCTTTCCGGATTGTAAGGATTAAACGCGCGCGCGCGCGATTCTTTAAGTGTTTTTCTCGCGGATAGAATTGCGAATCATAGACCGTATTAGCGGGCAGTTCCGACCGCCATTAAGCAAGAGACTGTATTACATTACACTGCTTTCGCAAGCTACATACAGCGTAGCTGGTTCTCGCGAACTCTGCTGACTCAATACTCCACTCGAAGTCTCGAGTAAAACGTGATTCGCGGTCTAACGAAAGAGCGCCTTGTTTAGCTTCTAAAGCCAATTCCGGACATTGATCGTGGAGTCCGACGACGTCGGGATGAACCATGCTGTCTCGGTCGATTCATTCGGTCGCGCACGAGAAAGAGAGACACAGACATACGCACACTCGAACCCGTGATTTGTCCCGACCTTATCGAGTCTCTCGCCGTCATGTTCTGACACACGCATTCAACGCGTGTTTCCGAGCAGACATACACGTACAAGGAGCGCTTCGCCCCGAATTCCTCGATCAATTTAGAATCAATTCTTCTATCGCGGAAGTCCAATCCGAGTTCTAGCGACTTCTCGACGTTCATAATACACACGTATGTGTGTGTGTACATATATATATGCCTCTCTTTTTATGCTCTTTCTTTCTCTTTCTCTCTTTTTCTCTCACACACTTCACTCGCTTATGATTAATCCTCAAATTAAAATTACTCCAAAGCGAGCGCGTTGGAAATGCGGCGTGAGATTTCGTTATCTATTTTTACCGTCGTGAAAACGGTACTAGCTCGTCTTTACGCGACATGGTAAGCATAAATATACTCCAAATTGGTCCAAGATGCTATACGCTCTGAGCTATGTACCCAAGACAGCCTCCGTGTGTGCTCCGTGACAGAAGTACCTATGTACTCACGAAAAGCGAGTATAGTCGCGGGGGGAAGTTTGCAAATGGCTGAGTTTAACAATCAATTCGCGAAGCGCAGCTTTACGAGCGCATAAAGGATCATATGCCGGATCCGTCGTAAAGTCTTTCTTCTCTTTCTCTCTTTCTTCCTTCCTTCCGCCATTCTCTCTCTCTCGCTTTCTCTCTCTCTCTCTCTCTCTCTCTCTCTCTCTCTCTCTCTCTC